CCCCCCCCCTTAACTCTGTGTTTGAAAACCTCCCTCTTCCTCAGTCTTTCCTTTCCCTGGACAAGGAGGTCAAAGACAGTCAGTGTCTCAGCCATGTAACCTGTGTCAGCTCCTGCCCCAGCACCCCTGTCCTATCCTCTCTGCTCAGCCAGGGGCTGGGGGTATCTGGACTCCTCAGGAGCTTTAGGACAGGACTATCTCCTCAAGCAGGAAGCTGCATGGTCTAAGAGAGAGAGGCTGAGGCTACAGCAGTGCACGTTAAACCACGTGCTGCTGCAGTCTCCCATCTGTCACACTGACACAGCAGAAGTAAATGTTTCCCAACAGAAACAAATCCATGTAGAGCTCAGGAGGATCCCCTTTCTAAGCCAAGGCATTTTGTGTGTGCTCCCTCTGTGCTCCCCAAGGACCTCTCAGTCAGGTTTCCTTTGGTGTTGACGCAAAGTTGATCCTGTTTGGTCTTGATGGAAAAAACCCCACCATAAACACTTTGCATCTCCAGGTCCCTGGAGGTGCTGACTGTCTTTGTTTGCGTCCTCTTCCATTGCTTAATCAGACCGTGGCTCCTGCTTCTCTTCCTCCGTCCTGTCCATGGGGGCTGTGAGCACCCTGCAGCAGGGATCGGCTGTGGTTGGGTGACTGCAGGAGCTGCAGCACGGTCCCAGTTGTGGCTGGAATATAGATAAAAAGGAGGGAGAGAAATGAATGCCCACTGGCTTGGATACAAAGTTCACGGGACTGCATGTTAATCGGCATGATGTGATTTCTCATGACCTTTGCGCAAGCCACAGTACACTGTGCTCAGCATGTCTACAGGGCGAGGCACTCATGTAACTCCTTATAAAGTTCAGGCAGGCCAGAAGATGTCCTTGTCTGGAGCACAAGTCCCTGAGAATAGGGATGTGGAGTAACTGAGGTTGCAAGGGCTCCCTTGGAGGTCCCTGCTCAGGACCGGGCCAACTTCAAAATTACATTTGGTTGCTCCGGGCCTCCAAAAACAAAGTTTTCTTGTCCATCTGTTTTCCCCCCAACCAGTAATCTCAGTCTTCCCCTAAACAGGGTCTTCAGCCCTCTGGGTTTATCTACCTAAAAAGTACTAGACATCTAACTCTGGACCTTATCAGAAGAGACATTAGGGACCCAACTTGGTTGCTATTTTGAAAACCAATGACCTGTTAATGGACCATCCTGAGAACACCCTGGAGACCCCTTGCTGTCCCAGGGTGCTTCTCACCCTGGTGGCGCAGTTGATCTCACCACAGTCCAAGCTGTCCTCCTCTGAAGGCCACGCAGGTCTCCAGGTCCAGGAGCAGCTGGCTGAAGGTGCCAGCGGGGGCTCCAAGGCACAGAGACATGACAGGCCTGCAAGGAGGAGAGACTCTGGCTCTGTTGTCCCCAGTCCATGTTTGTTGGTGTTTGCTGTGCTGGTTGTCTTTCCTCCTGTCCTGGTGAGTGCAGTGGCCATTCATCACTTTCCTGGCAGGCAGGTCTGTGGCATCCCTGTGAGTAACAACCATGTTGGCTGCTGTAAGGTGCTTGTTCCCAGGGGTCCCAGGCCCTGCAGGTTTGGAGAGGATCCTCTCCTACTTAAAGCATGGTGATAGGAAAGGTTTTGGAAACAAGCCACAGTCTTGGCCATTAGTGGCCTTTAAGTGTTTCCTGCCAGTGAGGGCTGTAGCCTGTGGTATCAGCTGCTGGGGAAATGAAGGGAGCCTTGGCATTTAGTGTTTTCAGAAGTTGATTCTTCTGAAGACTTCAAGATATCTTGGAAGGAGCAATCCTGCTCTGGTGGAAAGATGGAAGGGAGGTCTCACGACTCCTGTGTCACACAGACCGTGATGCTGGAGGAGAACAGAGGGCTGGGGGATGTTCCACATGCAGCAGATATCTGGCTGCAGGGAGCGAAGCGAGCACAGCCCCAGAGCCCAATTGTTAACATCATCATTGCTCTTATTCTCAGAAACTCAAGCAA